AAAACTCATAGATTGTAATGAAAAAATAAAAGTATTACAAGAAAAAAAAAAAAATTTCCAAATTCTTTTGTGTTGTAAAAAAACAAGAGTGCAGAAATCTGCAAAAATCAAACTATCAATGGGATGAAACAGCCTGCTTGTTGTCTTTCCTGAAAATGCTGACACACTTCTAGTCAAAGCATAAATAAAACAGGTAAAAATACAGTGTAAAAAATTGTTTGCAGTCTTGGTTTTTGTCTGTTACCTTCTGGGCTGGGAAAGCCTCTCGGTGGTGTTGATAGAGGCAAGAGGAGCCATTTAATTCACCACCCCATAGGAACCTATAACGTAAGTTGGACAACCACTTGTCCTGGGCTCCCCCTCTAGTCAGGAGATGGAGGTATCTCCAGAGGGTGGTGTAGACCCCAAGCAGGATGCAACATGTGCTGGAGGTGCCTGCCCAAATCCTCTGCCCAGAGGAGAGGTAAGACCCAGGTGCCCCTCTTCAGCGTCGACACTTACCAGAAATGAGTTAAGGCCGGAGCGATACCAACACTGCTGGCACCACCCTGTAAAATAACATGGCCGACACCGCCAGCAAACCTGCTCCTGATCCTCGGCCTTAAATGCCTTCTTCCACTCGTCTGCTGAAGATTTTACACAACACCACATCCCCAGGCATTCCTCCTCCCCCAACGAGGGGCAGTTTCTCCTTCCTCCCTTCCAAGACTCCCTTCCTTCTCCCCAAACACAGTCCTCCTCCTTTCTCAAGGCTCCCACAAAGCTGTCTCTTCCCCTCAATATCCACTCCCAAAGTCTGCACCCTCTATTTTGTAGACACTGTTTGATACCTCCGCTACTGTTTTAGGAACTGAAACTGAGGACAAGCTTTTACATTTGTTATTACTACTTGATATTTGTGTCATATAAAACAAAAATAAGATCAGAGCTAAGTATTCACGCACCTAGAAAGAGGCAGTCTCCTCCTGCAGTGATCTGACACTCTAAATAGAGAAGGTGGACAAAGAGCGGCACAGAGAAAGAGCTATCATCACTATTTCACTTGTAGAGAACAGGGATATCAACAGGTGATGACCTCAGCTCCACATCCTAATTTGCGTCAACAGTCTGCCAGGCTTGCCCATGACATCACAACCCAAAATCAGAATAAAAAGGTTCTAGATAATGCAATTTGTACCTGTATGATCTGCGTCTGATATCAGCAATCCCACTGCAAGGCTTACCCCCCCTCAAATTTATCCAACCTAAGAACCTGCTGAATGTGTGCCTGTAAAACAGGGCCCTTTGGCACATAAAAATAATGTAACATCGGTGCTCACTTTCAAAAAAGCCCAACATAAAATATTTTCCAATTACAAAAGATAATCTGACTATTGCCAAGTATCTGGCCAATGACACCAGGTTTGCTTCTCTTTCACATGAAATGCACAGGTCTGTTTAACATAAATACATAAGTCTCCCAGAGATACTGACCTGTGTGTTTTGCTTTTTTATTTACTCGTCGAGCCCTGGCACAGCTCGTTGAGGGAAATCACGTGCCCATCTGTGCTACTGAAACCTGGTCTTTCAGAATGGGACAACCAGCCTGTAAGGGCAATTTTTGGGCTTCCACAGCTTTGACAACATCCCTTGAAACTAAATTGAACAGAGCCTCTGAGGCCCACGCTGCTCCTTCAGAAGTGATACGTGTCCTCGTGGATACCCCCTGGTATCGGAGCAATACACTTGCTTCTGAAGCTATCTGACCCTAACAGCTGGACATAATGGGGATTCCAGAAGGGGTTTAGTCAACAGCTGGGTAATGGAAGGCCACGGCTTCCTTACGTGGGCTCCATAGCTACGGAAACAACAAAACCGACAATCTTCTAAAAATAAGGTGAAATTAATACGTTGCTTAAGCCTGCATTTGAAGTGAAAACACACTTAGGGCTACAAACAAAGCAAACAATATGAGCGCTTATCCAATCAGTGGGGGTTAATCACAAATACGCAGCACACGTCTTTAACAATGGCTATTACGCGTACTTTTAAATAATTAGCGATGGTAGCAATTAAGCAATAATTCATACATGAAGTTTAGAGAAGCAAACAAATGCTCGGTCCTTTCTAATCGGAAGCCACAGAAAGAACACTGCAATGATAATCCAGCTAAGGCCAAAAAGCAACCCACTTGCAAAAGAGATTTTGAAACTTTCCCCTTAAACTTCCAAGGAGTGCTAATTTTTAGAGTATTTTTCATATACTCCAAAAAATATTTGAATTCCAGGATTCAGTTTCTCACTCCACTCCTAAACACGTTCTGGTGCAGAAAGCACAGGGAAATATAAAGATCAATGGTTTGGAAGGCAGACCTCCTCATGAGGTTATGAATTAAGCCATCGGTGCGGTACAGGTTAGCAGATATGGGGACTAAACATCATTATTTTTGTAACTCTTGACCATAAATAACTGCTGGTAAAATGCATTCTTTCCTACCAATAATGGATACCAACCAGAGCTGCACGGGTGTAAATCAGCGTGATCTCAGAACAGCGTGCAATCATGCTGACAGCGTCTTCCTTTCCCTTTGTTAGTGGCAACAAGATCATAATTTTAATTATTTTACCTTTAATAAAATTAATTAATACTTGGTGAAAGGTGCTAGGGTTAACACACATGCAACAACTTGTAAAATACCTAGCCCAGATTTCCAATGAATACATGTTACTTATAAAGTCAACTCTCACTTACTGAGAACACCTGGTAGAGAATTTGTCTAGCTACACAGCGTAGAAGGAACTGCAGTCCTTAAGTACGGATACGTTTTAGGAGTTACAAGCCCATATAACGCATGCTGCAATTGTACCTTAGAACACAGGAGGATTTGTTAAAAGTAGCAAAACGAGCAGAAGTCCTGGTTGAGCAAGGTTTTTAACCACATTTTCAACTTGAACTGTGTGCCTTGTCCAGCAGAGTTGAATGGAAAGAGGGGCAGCGGCAGAGCTGGGCTGGCAGGCACTATTCTGCAGCATCAGGTTCGAATTTGGTAACTAGATGATAGGTACCTCAAAAATTAAACAGCTGGATAGAGGAGGGATACAGTTTGGGTTTGGCAAGCAAATTACTTTTCTCAATACTGACAATCCAAGGTGATAGCAATTGTAAAATAGGTGCTTTAAAAAAAAATAAATTGTTTTATCCCGGATAGCTTGCTTAGATCTGACATCAAGGAATTATCTGCTTCTCATTTCGCATTGTTCCTGCTCCTCCTGGCAAAAAGTGCTGCATTTCTACCTTTTGGTCTCATCATTCCTACCAGCGATGTTTTAAAGACTATTTAGAAACTCTTACGATTTTCTCCACCAATCCTTGAGAATCCCAGAAATAGTTCACTTGACTTTTCAGATTACTTTAAGGTATCGTACGAAACTCTCACTTTAGTTTCAGTGGAGTTTTGTAGTGTAAGGCACATTGCTGTTGGACAAACACTGGCTGCAAGACTGGGCTCCCTAGGGAAAGGCCGAAGTTCATGTCTCTCAGCATATTTACTTTTGACCTCTCTTTTGTAGAGGTTTCAGCTTAAAAAGTCCATCTATCGTGAGAAACCAGCAGTGCTGTGAAGAGCTCGTTACAGAGGTCCACTGAAATCAGGCTCCAGGAGCTCTTCCTGGAGAAAAGTAAAGGAGCAGCTCCCAAAATTTCTCATTGACAACCCCAGGTCCTTTTTGCAATTTCAGACTCCTCTAGTTTGAACAAAGTGGTCTAAGGCCTTTGTCTCTGCTCTACACACCCACTATTAATTTGGTTCCATTCTGGTCATCCTTTGATCTCCTGCAGTCAGCCAGCTTGCTCCTGCTGAGCTAAGCCTGTGCGGCTGCGCTCTCCCCAGTTCATTCCCCCTTTTCCCAATTCTTCCTTTCAACATCTATTCTCATTCCTCTCTGAAGTCTTTTGGGTCTGCCAATTAATCCATTTGTATCTCTGTATAGGAACCACTAACTATACATTGGCAGTGAAGTCACCGATGACATCTATCCTAAATGCAATGCTAAAGTCCAAATTTCAAAGAATCCAGAAAGAGAGAGACAGAATGAGACAAACACCAAACCACTGTTTTACCAGTAAACTTGTGCTTCCAGCAAAGTAGGAAGACCATGTAGCCACGTCTTGGAATGATACGGCAAATTCACAGTAGATGTCTTCATACTGTATGACTTGCAGATAAATAATGAGGTGGGAATCTCTTTTTCTTCAAGCATCTCGGGCACGTAACTAAAGGAAGATGATTATAATGTGCCCCTTACATACTGAAAACTGGGAAGTGAAAGTGTTCTTTTAAACTGCAAAACTAATCTTTTAGTTTTCAAGTCCATTTTGTGATTTTTCAGTGTTTGACTCGTGTTTTTTTTAAAAATTTGGACTTAACATCAGAAAGCTACCCAATCTCCATTAGGGTAGAAGGAACACGTGAAAGCAGAAAAAGGTTTTTCCTAGCAATCGTTCAAGCAATACTGCTAGCCACTAATACAGTGATCCTATTTTTGACCGTATCACAATATTAGACAATGAAAATAACACAGAGAATGAGCAGAAAAAAGTCATTCACCCCACCAATTGCTCTCTCTGAACCCATTACAACAGACAAAGATGCAGTTCTTTGTATACCCAAGCCCATATACCAGTGAAAGTTAGTCCACTGAAACTGGGGAGTTCTTTTTTCATTTAAGTTACATCTGGGGAAAAAAAATAATCAAAGAGAGTCAAACAAAGCAATGCCCCCAACTTCCCTTTGTCCTAAGAGGGCAGAATAAACAGTGAGATCAGGTCAGAAAGGGGCTTACAACACTGGGACAAACTGGAGGAGACTCCGAGTGCAGGGTTTTGGGTCTGCTCTCCGGTGAAATCTTTTCTTCCGTTACTGCTTACACGTTGAACCAAGTAATGCCTCTGTTATCACTTGTTCTGCACAACAGCGAAGGTAACTTCAGAAAAATACGACCAAGCAGGGAACTGCAGGCTTACTTGCAGTGTGTCTTTTACTGAAAAATACATTTTATTTATCATAACATTCAAAAAAAAACCCCCAACATAATACAAATGCTAACTCATTCAGTTACAAACTTTGGTACTCAGCGGTTTCAGACAGTCCGTTCTCACGTGGTCGTGACGTACTGGAGCGTTCCCGACGTGCAACACGCTGCTAGTGCAATTCTCAGAGCGACTCTGCTGTCCTTCAATCCCAGGCTCACGGCATCCTGCAGCGGGACCACTTCGGGCTTCGGCTACGCACTTGCCACAGTGTCGTCTACGTTGAGAGCAGCTCAGAGAGTCCATTTTTCTCCAGTTACATATCTTCTTTTTTTTATTTTTTCCCCCCACAGGCAACAATCATCAACACAATGCGTTCACGGCATTTTCCCCTTTGCCTTATAGCCCACCGCTCTGTCATCAGACATATCACCCACATCCTCTTAACAATCATTATCCTTACTTCACACTTGCACTTTTAAATATCTTTACACTGATAACCCACCCCCTTAAAAAAGGGGGGAAAAAGAAAAGAGCAAAACAAAGAAGGAAAAAAAACAGAAAAAGGGGAAAAAAAACCACAAGCATTTTTAAAGTAGTGTATGTGTTCTCAGGTAGCCACAAGTTAATGGTAATTTGTAAGCATAAGGAATGACACTTTGGCCATCAACACTAGAGAGTAAAGGCAGCTTTGAATAAGGACAAGAAAAAAAAACAAAACAAAACCCACACAACCCATAAATACATTTTAAATCATTCATCAAGTGATTCACCAAGGATTAAATTTAACTGAGTGAAACCAACCCTGCTGCAAAAGACCAGAACAAAATTCGTGCATCACTCCAGTCCCGCTCAAACTTTTAATTGGATCCTGACCTAAAACGCGTGGAAGTGGCTGGCCGGCTGTTGCAGACCCCGAACCCCGACGGCAGGGCTGGGGGGAACTCGAGTGGTGCACAGGATTTTGCCCTGCTTTGCACACGGGGTGAATTTCAGCTGTAACGTACTATGACTGCACCGTGAAACATATAATACTAGCAGCTTGTGAACCCTGACACGGAGGGCTTGACTCTAATCCAAGATATGTGGTTACACACCACCCCATCAGCTGGAGAAGTTCACCACTGGGTATACGTGGAGGAGCACCATACTACCGGATTTTTTTCTGGTGACCTTTCATGGCGCTATCTGCTGCGTCTGGCTAGACTCAAGCCCAGAGCTCCGGTTTTATACATATAAAGTGAAGAACCTGAGACTCGGGTCTGCAAGGCACTCAGCGCTCTGGGCCAAGTTCAGCAAAGCGTTGTGTTGATGGGTAAAAAAAAAAAGAAAAAAAGAGACTGCGCTTCCGCTGAAGTCCCCAGGAATCCGCTTAGATATTTGATGTTAAAGATGCATATGAAGGCTTTGCTGGACTGGGTCTGCGAAGCTCAGCTGCTTGCAAAACTGACCCCTTGATGCAAACGCGGAGTCTCTTTAGTAACACAAAATTAAGCAAACACTGTTTGACATTAGAATTGACACATTCCACTGAAGAAATCTCCCCTGAGAAAATAAATAGCTGTTGGTATTGCCTCATTTCATTGCTTTCGTCTCCACAGGCAGTTAAAAAAAACCCTGCAAAATTTTCCTCCAACAAATACATGTTGAAACCCTGGGCACTTTGTTTTCTAGGCATTTTTTTTCCTTTCAAGTACACCGGGTGAAACTGTAAACCCTGAGTTTGTGTGTGCAAACCTATATCTTGTAAACTGAAACGTGAAACTTCGCTCCGAGCACCGATATAGGAAAAGATAGGACAAAACATTTTTAAACATGGATGCTAGTATTATAATGTATGTACCATACACCTGTATGTCACAGTGGACGATCTACTCTGGTACCTGCACTGTCCTGCAGTCCAAAGTACTGTTTCGTTTAATACCGATACTCTAGTTGTAACGTCTACGGACTTAGCAGTCATGAAAACGGTGAAGAAGCATCCATCTTCTTTAAGAGGCATTCAGCCCGAAAGCTTGTAACTGTAGACCGTACAACCGAAGAGCATGGGGATTAAGCTTACACCCTATATGCTCTAGCTGGGCACGCCAAGCTCTTTAAAAAGGGTTAGATTTGGAAATCCAAATCGTTGGATTTCCACAACGATGAAGATAAATGAGAAGATATATGTTAAATCACTCACTATGTGTATACTTGCAGTGCATTTCATCCTGAGGGTAATTTCAATTTGTGCCTGTAAACAAATAAATCGCATTGAAATACAATCTCAAGTGTATCGTTAAAGACAGTTGTAGCTGAGTTTTCTGTGTCTTGAGAGTTATTAATGGAAATGAAAAGCTGGGGCTTTCTTTAAGAATGGGAAACCCTGAAACTTCCTTAGCAGCAGGAAACCTTGAGAACAGGTGCAGGAAAATCCTGCCCGTGGGTAAATGCTTAAGTACAGACTTCTGGGTTTTGCATTTAGATTTTAGATTTCCAACCTGTTACCTCGAGAAAGCTTTATGCTAAACAATTTAGGCTTGATCTTACATTTATTGGCTTCCCAAAGCGCTTCACTGAACTGAAATTTTGGGCAGGGAACACACTGTCGTAGTTTAGTTTTACTGTCATGGTAACAATTCTCTTTCACTGAGACAAACTGGTTGCTGGCAACAAAACCAACAGTTTAAGCAAAGTTTGACATATGGACATAGATATCACTGCATTTTGAGTAATCTTCTTTCATATTTTCTGGTTCAAAGGAGAAATATTTTCTTAGCAAGTACAGATAGCGTGGATGTAGCCCTCAGATAAACCTGTCAAACAACAGCTAAGGAAATGACTACGCATTATTGGGGCTGTAACATTAAAAACCTCCTCTCACGAGGGAATCTCACTAGGATTGTGTTTTCAGCAATGTTGCAATTTTAGGAAGAAAAGACTGCGGTCTTAAAGAAAAACAAATGCTGTCCTCTCCTTTAGAACTGGGGTCTAAAATTATTACATTCAATTTCTGGCTTTCCAGTATTTAAACACTGTCATAATTAAGGCAGCTTGTGATGTTTAAGGCAGTACAGAGGAGCAAATGAAAAACGAAAGCAATCAAATGTGTTTTCTGAAATTTACACAACCTGTTTTGAACCATGCCAAAAAATAAACACTAAAGATGATCTAAATACTACAGATCTCTCCGTTTGCGATTCCAAGTGCAGAAGTAGAGAGTACAAAATAGACATCTGATCACAAATCGTCACCAAAACCTATGGGGAAGACCCTCATTTACTGCAATGGGAGAGAGCTGAGGGCTCTTTTGTTTTTTTGAAGGGTTGCAGGGCTGCACTGGATCATCACAACATGTTCCAGGGACCTGGGCGCAGCTGTGCGGCGATCCACACTGGAACACTGCTGCGTTTACACCCTGCGTTTTACAAACAGCTGTAGTGGCACCACTACCGCTAGCCACCAGCACAGAGGCAATGCCTAAGGCCCGCACATTGGCTTCAATACAAAAACAACTTTGCAGAAAATAATGCAGTAATTTAGTGTTGCTCGCATAATTAAATGTATGCATACTCCAAAACTGGGGGGTATTTAGGAGAGAACAAGAAACTTACACACTTGTTTTGTATGATGAAGCAAAAAAAATGAGAAAACCGTAGAAGCAGTTTTTAGGATGTATGTTTAGAGTTACGAAGTGTATTTCAGATTAAAGGAGTGTGATTCTTCTTCCTTATCCCTGTGGAAAAAAAAAAACAAACATAAAAGCATCATTAATAAAAAGTAGATTCTTAGCTGCCACAACCAATTCTCGGAGAGCAATCTTCACTACTCCAGGGAAGTGCATAGTATCTCCATTGTCACACTATTCTTGCTACTAATTTCCTAAGCTACTGCCAAGAATCAGACAATAGCACCCAACTTTTTAAACCGAGTCAGTGGTCGGACAGCCTCATTTTTTGAGCAGAATCGATGCTTGCTGCTCGAGGTGCGAAACATGCGCCGCCTTACGACCCCATGGTTCCCCACGGACTTGTCCTGGGGAACCCCATGCACATAGGTAGAAAGAGGGCAAAGCGATCCATCCGGGATTTAAGCGAGCCATCCGCTTGAGTTAAAGACCTGAGCACTTTACTTTCAAACACAGCATCCAGCACGGCGTATGTAAGCAAAAGTAAAACAACCTGTAATCACGTGCTCCAAGATTTGTGGAGTTAAGACTTAAATACTGGCCCAGGAAAGCATCCCGGGCAAGAAGAGTCATTAAGCTCACACTTAACTTTCATTGGTGTCAAGGTTAAGCACTACCTAAACGTTTCCTCAGTAGCTACAGATTTGAACATGAGCTTATGCCTATTTCCATTCGTAGACTGATTTACTAGATCAAATGCTGAAACCCTTTTAGTTCTTGGAATATTCCTGTATTTCCCACTAAAATTGGACAGGTGCTTTACTAAATTCTCAGCGAAGGCATCAGCATAAGTAAATCCTACGTACTGCGTATTTCACTGTACGTTGACTTTTTGACTTAATCATGTAGAATATATATTTTGCTGAATAGGGCACAACTAAAACAGAGTTTAAAAATATCAACTTATGAGCCTTTAAAAAAATCATTCATATATGCTATCCACACAAAATTACTTTTTAATGGCAGGCATAGATTGTCTGATGGCAGGTAGGAAGAAACACTTACAACTAGTAAGTATACTTGCATATTTTGGTGACAGAACTGCTCACATTTGACTTAGCCTACTTTCACCACGAAAATAAATGTCCCATGTATTCCTGTAACTATAAGGTGGCTTCAGTTTAGGCACATGTTTGAACAGAGCAAGGAAAAATACCCCTCGAATATCGGCAGTACAATTTACCACAGTTATTTTCTACTTTGCTACATTTTCTCATTTATTTACCTAACGCAAGGCAGAAACTCCCCAGAGTATAACATGGGAATAGATACAAAAATTAAAAACACGTTTTCAGTCATTCAGGCTGGGAATGAGCTCCCTTCAGGCAGTCCGCTCCCTACAGGTTGGCGCTGTCTAGGTTCGGATGCAAGCAGATGTGGCTAGTGTAGAAGTGAAAATTAGCATCATTCTTTTTCCGTATGAAGGAAAAAGAATGCAGCAGGCAGGACCTATGTTGCTAAAAGCTCACCAACTACTGTGAGCGAAGAAGAGGAGGGAGAAAAGTGGCCTCATGACACCTCTCAGAAACACGTACATATTCTCTAGTATTTGCTGTATATCAAAAATTTAAGAATTGTTCAGAAATGGCAACTTGGATTTTGCCAGAATCCAAATTGATAGGATCCATTTTACCCCACCGATTAGGCAGAAAAGAGCAGCAGCCACAGAAAGAAGTGCTGGAAGAGCAGCAGATGTGCGGAGGATCTGGTGCCAACAGCTCCACAGGCATCACTCCGCCACCAAAGGTTCAAGTCAGCTCTGTTGCAGTGATCTCCAAGAGGTGACAGAGACCAAGATGGAGCAGTCCTTGACACGGTGACACAGTTTGTGAATGAAGATGTGAAAAAAATAAAGAAGGGAGGGAGACATTATGTGTAGCGCAGAAAGAAATACAGGAATGGAAAGAAAGAGCACTCATTCAGCTTATTTTGGCTAGTGAAAAAAAGGGACCTGAAAGGACAGTATTTTATTCAAACCCCATGCTCACGTGATGAAATCTGGCTGATTTAAAATCCATTTCAGGATCTACACGGCACTGCTGCAATCAAAAAAACCCTGATCTGATGTGAAAGCAATTGGAATGGAAAAAATGATCAACAGTTCACCCTCTGATTCATATGAAATTACACTCCTGTTCTTGTTAGAGGAAAAACACTACCCCAAGCAAACACACACACTTAATTAGGAAGAGAAAGATAAAAGAGATTCAGGAAAAGAAGGGGAAACAAAAAAAAAGCAGATAATAAAAGAGACAAGAGGAGAAAAACGTTATCCACAGGGACACAAAAGTTATGTAGGTGAATGGAAATGCTGAGTAGGTACAAGGACAGACCAGAATAACGGGAAAGGAGGCAGCGGCTATAAATGCGATTCCCCTCTGGCATAGACCTTATTTTCCACTGAGAGCTACATGAATAACCAAAGTCTGACGACAAGCTAAAATCCATCTTGCAGCACGCAGTTAAAATGCTTTGTTTTACTGACTTTCAGAACAGGTCAAGAACGCCCCCCCCCCGGCATCCATTATACACCAGCAGGACACCTGCCTCAGCCGGCCTGAGACAGCAGGGAGGGAGCATCCCTGTCTGTATTAGACAATGTGCATCTTGGCATCATTAATGGTAAAAGATGAAATGAAGTCTTCAAACTGCTGGATGACCTTCTGTAACGAGTACGAAAGTTTCTGCATCACCGATCTCTCGGGGCAGCTTTCACACCTGCCTCGCAACGGTAGAGCTCCGACATGATGCAAAGAAGCAGACCCTCGATGCAGTTATTAATGTCACCAATAAGAAAGAGCAATTTGCCGAGAGCATCATCCATGGCAGTGATGCACCAGGTATTGTAGGCAAGCTAGCTGCATGACATGGCAGGATAACCCCCTGGGAAACGAGGGGCGAGTCACACCAGGAAATATGATGGGTTTCACTGTTGAAGAGTGAAACAAGATCAAGAAGCTAGGGCTTTTTGTTTAAGTAGTTGCTGTAAGATAGAAATGTCCTTTTCAAAAACACTGAGTGTCTAAACTGAAGTCTCACAAATAACCGATTCCTTGTGCTAGCGGTCCGAATCTGGCCTATAGACCAAATCGAAAAATCAAATAGCTTTTGCCATTTTATCTAGATACTCTATCAAGACTTTACTGACAAGATCGACCCAAGTAGCATGGCAGAACTCAACTTAAATTGCTACTTTGCCTGTCCTGAGTGACCCCGTAAGGGGCAATGAAAACAACTTAATTTATATCCAGGATAAAAGAATGGTATTTTGAAGGTAAAATATTTACAAGCAGATAAGAAGTAAGCATATAAAGCATTTCAGTAAGGTTTCATTCAACAAACAATCTACTGCATTGTAGCAGATGATGCAAATTAAAAGAACGACGGATGCAAAAAACGATAACCCAAGCACTGGAAGAAAAAATTTACCCTCTAGCATGCGACCGAACAAAACTCAGTGCAAACTGGTGACAAACCCAAACCTCCGACTGTCACCGCTGTTTCTCTTTGCCTCTTGATATACACCAACAACAAACTCCATGAGTCTTCAGTAAGCCACAAAAGACTTTGGTAGCTCTGCCCAATACTGCACTTGATAAAGATGAGCCGTGTGTTTTAGTGCAAGAGGCAAAAGCAGGAGCGACGCCAATCCTGAAGGCACTTTCCTAATATTTCAGGTATTTTAAAATGAAATGTCATCGTTCCTTGGTTATTTTGCGCAAGACATCCTGCACCCTGGTTTCGACGCGTGCCGTACGCCCAGCCCCGTGCCGTCCTCCTTGCTCCGGACCAGATACTCAATGCTTCCGCACAAGCATCCCCAAATTTGGAGGCCGGCCCTGGGTTACAGCCCTAGGTAACCGGACACTGGTAGGACTGCGGCGAGCCAAGCTCAGACTAGCCGTGCGAAATCATTATTTACAGTGGTGCCCACAAGCTCCACTGGAGCCCTCCTGCAGCGCAGGCAGCTGCGGGCGCCCCTGCCAGTAGCCCCATGGCACGGGGGAGCACACCAGGGTCTACCCCACGTATTCCGCTCCCGCGTCCTGCTAACAAGAAGGATGCAAAATTAAGGTTTCCTTCCATCAGACCTTTCCCCCG